GCAATGAAGATTGCTTTGGAGTATGATCGATCGCATCATGTCCGCGGTATGAACTATCGCCCACCGTTCTTTTCGCAGGACCGATCACGCTCTCAGTTCAACAACAATTCTCACCAAAAGCAAGCCACGCCTATGCGTGCATTCAGGAGAACGAACCCGAGCCAATGGAAATTGACTCAGGGAGCACTAGAAATCGCTGTTCTGCTTCTTCTTCGTCGTCTAACAAGCGATGTCGTTACTGCAAGAAGTCTGGTCATGTCATTGAGCAGTGCTTCAAGTTGAAGAACAAGGAGAAGTATGCTCGAAAGAACCGTCACGAGCAATCTGCCGCGAACTTTAATTCTTCTCCTCCTACAACTGCTGCTGCTGCTGAACGAGCGTCTATGACCCGTTCCGATGACGAGGTTGAGATTGTTGAAGTGGAAGAGATTTCCACGTCCACCTTGTCGTCCATGCATCGTGAGAACGAGCTCATTCGTAAACAAGGGACTTGGGATGGTAAACCTGTCGTCATCATGTTCGACAGTGGTGCTACGTGCGATGTTGTTCGCCCAGGCTTAGTCGCTAACACCGCTACGTCTGGTGTCTCACAAGTCACTCGGTTCGATGAAACTTCTACGAAAGCGCGCTCTGTGAAGAAAGGTCAAGCGACCATTGAATTCGGTCGCTACCGTTTCCGCAAACTTCAAGTCATAGAATGGTCACTTGGATCTGCCCATGATGTCATCTTGGGAAAACCTTGGTTTACCAAGTTTCAGCCATGTATCAATTGGCGTTCGCATGAGATTTCGTTTCCAAGTATGTCTTGTGCGCCTCCACCAACGGCTGCTAGTCAAGCAGCTGTGGAGATTGCTGCTGTTGACTTTAAACGTAATGTGAAGAAACATGTGTACAAGGAAGTGTACCGTGTCAAAATTTGTGCGGTCACGCCAGTTAGTGAGTCGACTCCTGTTCCGATCACTCACTTATTGAAGCGTTTTACTGACGTCTTTCCGGAAACTTTACCGGATGGTTTACCGCCTTCACGTCGTGTGGATTTCGAACTCCACATGAAACCTGATGCTGTTCCAAGTAGCCGTGCTCCGTTCCGCCTGTCTAAGGTTGAGCAGGATGCACTGGATCTCTTCGTTGCAGAGAAGCTGAAGAAAGGATGGATCGAAGTTTCTGATTCTCCTTGGGTGCCCAACATCTTTGGGATTCCAAAGAAAGATCCTACTTCTGGACATCAGCTGTCTCGCTCTGAGTGGGTACGCTCTGGAAACTCGACTTTGCCTATTCGTTGGGTCATCGACTATCGCTATGTGAGCTCGCAGTCGATTGTTTTAAAGATTCCAATGCCTCGCATCGACGAGCACTTCGATCAGATGTCTGGTTGTGTCATCTTTTCAGCTCTAGATTTGGCTCAAGGATATCACCAAATGCGTATCGCGCTCAAGAGTCGCAAGTATACCGCCTTTCGCACGCACGCTGAAACTTACCAGTGGTGTGTAGCTCCTATGGGATTGGCCGGTATGCCTGGTGTTTGGTCTCGCCTCATGAGGGTACGCTTTGCGAAGTACCGTTTCATTGTTGTCTACTTGGATGACATTTGTGTCTTTTCCACCAGTCTGGAAGAGCATGTTGAGCATCTTCAAACTCTCTTCGAGGTTCTACGTCGTGAGAATTTGTTCTGTCATCTCTCGAAGTGTCACTTTGGTCAGTCCGAAGTTAAGTTTCTCGGCCATACGATTTCTGCCAAAGGACTTGCTGTTGATACTCGCAAGACTGAAGCGATTGCAAAGTGGCCTACGCCACTAAACCAAAAGCAACTACAAAGCTTTTTGGGTCTCGCAGGTTATTACCGTCGCTTTATTCGTGATTACGCCATTATTGCGTTGCCTCTTGGTTCTCTTGTCAAGAAAGAACATGTCTGGAGCTGGGGTCCAGAACAGACGCGTTCGTTTGAGGAAATCAAATCCGCTCTTCAAGAAGCACCCGTGTTGCAGTTACCGGATTACGAGAAACGTTTAATCGCGACAACAGATGCCTCTGGCTACTGTGTTGGTGGCGTTATCTCTCAAGTTCGTTCCGGTCAAGATCATCCGATAGCCTTCTTCTCGAAGAAACTTGGTCCTCACGTTATTAATTGGCCAACACACGAGAAAGAACTCTTCGCTATTAAATTAGTGTTAGACAAGTGGTGTCACTACCTATATGGTCGTGAATTTGATATCTACACGGACAACACTGCTTGCAAATGGTTTTTGCACCACCCGAAGGTTTCAGCGAAATTAGCTCGCTATTTGACGTTTTTCGCACAGTTTACGTTCAAGTTGCATCACGTTAAGGTACACCTCAATGTGATTGCCGATGCATTGTCGCGTCAATCTTCGGAGCATGCGATCAATACGGTTTCGTTTCATCAGTGTACCACGCGCTGCCATACCCGTGCAGCTCGAAACCTGACGAATCGACGCGTTATTACCGACTACCGCAGTCTTAACCAACATTTGGTTCGACCACCCTCTCGCCCTCAATTTCGTGGGGAGGATGTTGCTGCTGGTTACTACACGCGCCCTGCTCCGACCATAACCCAAGCTTACCGATATGTACCAGTGGAAACTCCACGTACCGTCGCTGCGGCTGAGAATATTGTTGTGGCCACCAATGTGACCCAACAAGCTCAAAATTGGAGCTCGCTCGGTTGGTCTGATTCGATTAGCAGAGAGTTCGCTGCTGGATATCGCAATTGCCCAGACTACGGAGGTCGTTTTAAGCATCCGGAACGACCATTTGTCAAACAAAATGGTTTTCTTTTCCGCAAGTATCAGACGATGATGCGCTTGTGTGCTCCGTTTACTCGGGACAATCACCTTCGAACTTCCATCATCTCTTGCTTCCATGACTCCAATATTGCTGCTCATCCTGGAGCTCATCGAACGTACCTTCGCATTTCGCAATGGTAACATTGGCCCACCTTGGACCAAGACGTTCGCGATTATGTGCAAAGTTGTAAAACTTGAACTCGCTGGAAACGCAGCAATGCTCGCAAGAATGGCAAGATGATTCCCATCCCGATTCCTGAGGAATGCTGGTCTGTCGTCTCTATGGACTTTATCTCTGGATTACCTGATCCCAGTGGTTTTGATGCAATCTTGACTGTTGTCGACAAGTTGTCCAAGCGCCCGAAGTATCGTGCGTGCAACCCGACTGATGATGCACAGAAGACTGCGTATCACTTCTTTGATTGCGTTGTTCGCCATCACGGTTTACCATAGATCATCATCAGCGATCGAGATTCCAAGTTCGTCTCCAAGTTCTGGCCATCCTTGGCTAAGCTAATGGGAATTCGTCTGCACATGACAACTTCCTATCGTGCCCAAGCCGATGGACAAACCGTACGCCAGAATCTGATTCTGGAAGACGCTCTACGCTGCATGATATCGTACCACGGACGTGATTGGTCGGATAATCTCGGAACGATTAATAATGCTCGTGCTACTCTCGTCAGCGCATCTACCGGTATGTCGCCCTTTGAAGTTGATACTGGACGCAAGGAACGGAATCCGTTGAATCCTTTGAGCAATCCCAGTACCATGACTCAAATTCAGCGTGGAATTGTTGAATATGCGAAGCAGTTCCAAGACAAACGCCAATAGATCATTGATTTGGCAAAGAATCATCTTCTTCAAACCCAAGAACGTCAGAAGAAGTACTATGACAAGAAGCGATCATCAATCACGTTCAAGGAAGGAGACTTAGTCATGCTGGATACACGCCGCATTCCTTTCCCCCCATGTGACTCAAGACATTGATGGGAAACGAGCTAAGCTCGCTGCTCGAAAGATTGGACCATTCGAGATTGTAAAAATAATCAATCCGAATGTAGCCAAGTTGAATCTTCCGCGAAGCATGAGTCGTCTGAACTCCACGTTCAATGTGGACGTGTTGAGTCATTACGTTATAATCCCGTCGCGTTTTAAGACTCGTCCTATCCCAAAGGCCTCGAGACTGATTATTGACGACGACATTGGCGCAACGATGCACATCATCGAGAAGCTTCTTCGCAAGCGTCAATTCAATTGCAAACCTGAATGGCTTGTGAAATGACACGGATTGCCAGATCACGAAGCAACCTGGGAGCGCGAAAAAGACATCCGCCATGTGTCGCATTGGAAGGTTCTCGTTTCGGACTTCAACAAGCGTCAACGAGAAGTCAAGTCCGGGAGGATGTAACGACGCACCAACGTCACAGCCAGCGATGGCCATGACGTTGGTACCAATGCGTCCTACTTTTTTTTTTCTTCCTACTTGTTTTTGCTGACTGCCAACTGTCTTCTTAAGTTGCCAATGAGCGGCCAGACAGACACACGCCTGACCGGAAGGCAATCACCATGTTTGGACGAGTATTGCCAAACATGGAGCTTCAACGACAGTCATTCTTTTTTATTTGAATTCACTATGGAGATTCTGACCCGGTTCAAATGAACCGCGGTTCACTACTACGCTACGCTACTTCAAGATTCGACTCAAGGACTACTTAGAATCTAGTATAGTGAAATGCATATATTTACATAGGATACCAAGGGAATGCTAACAAGCACTTCCTCGTAGCCGACAAATAACTAACCATTTCAATCTCACTTTCCAATTTACCTTCTTCGAGGCACATCAGCTGCCTCCTACGCCTTATCTTCGAGTCCTCTTCGTTGGACTCTCGCCGCCCTCCCCCGCTTCGCTCCTCGCCACGCGACTCGTTCCTCGTCGCTGTTCCTCTGCGCCGTGCTCTCACCAGTCGTCACACTTATACTTGTCTTTGACGTTCTCAATCAGCTTCTTTATAAGAATATCTAATGATCTTCTCTTTTCCTTATCTTCATTCTTTCCTTTGACTTCTTGTGGTTCATACTCCGCTTTCCATTCCTTGTATCCATCTGGATCGGTTCCTCCAACAATAGATTTAATTTGGGATTCACTTAGCTTGGGGTAATACCTGGATGTTTCCCAGTAATTGAACACTTTCAATGCAGCGGCTTGATCAAATCGATCTGTCATTGTTTTGAGAATGCACAAGTATGTCTTCCGCATTAAGCCAAGATTGATGTGTTGCTTGCGATATAGCACACCAGCCAAGCTCCAAGTATTATTGTTATCATAGTACCACGATCTCTTCATCATGCAGCATAGTTTGTATAGACGCTGATCGCATAGTCCATTTGACACACAATATTCTACAAGATTAAGTTTCTCATAAAATCCTAAGAAGGCTTCTTTGTCCTCATCTGATTTGAAGTAGATACGCTTACGCGAGGTTACTTCACCAATCCAGCTTGAAAATCTTTTCGATTTTCAAGCTGGATTGGTGAGATATAACTCTGACTGAATAATACCTGTGGATCTGCATTCTTAATGCTTTGATGATCGATTGGTTTTTCCTTCGCTAGTGAGCGCCAAGCATCGGTTACTTCAGAAAACTTCAGAATGTCTTTATTCCCGTATTCAAGTCCATAAGTATCCCAAGTAATGCCCTTTGTCAGTGCATTAGTTCTAGTCGAGGTCACTTCATTCTCAGAATCGTCCGAATTATATAATTGTCCCGAATCTGAATTATATTCCTCCTTATTTACCGCGCTATCCGCGATCATCGGTTCGACAATCGACTCATCCACATTTGGAACTTCACTAACTTTGACATTCGAGGCCTCGACGGGTTCGATCACCGATGGCGCTGGTGTATCAACAACCTCAGCGACGACTGGGGTATTGACTTGTGGTGACATTTCTTCTACTATATTACTCTCCACGACAATAATTTCCCGACCCATAATAATTGGATGCTTGCCGCAGCGATCCTTGTTGCGAGCTAGCAAACACTGTTCTCCGTTCTTTTTGATAAAGTTGCACATTGTTATATTACTAAAGTTATATTTTTATATTCTATATTTTCGTCGCTCAAGATCATAATTTTTTTATGATGCGGGGATCCCGCCATGAAGTCACAATAGCGAGTGGATCATATGACTTGTAATCATGTTAAATGTGTCGAGTATGTCCGTAAAAGTCTTGCCTCGCACGAAACAATGACCAAGACAAGGTTTGGTTCATCTAATATCAATAGGAGATACTTCAAGTAGATTTTAGATGCAAGTGTGAGTAGTAGCAAAATACTCACAAATTGTGAGTATTTTGCTATTACTCACACTTATAGGGGTCCGTGATCAGGTGAACGGGAGCATTTTGCTAAGAAGGTTCATCAATAACGATTTACCTGATCCACCTTCATCATAAAGCAATACCATGAAATCAAATTTGCCATTCAGCAGTCATTAGGCGACCAATCATGAAATAGATAAATTCAATAGTCTCGTCATCGAATTGGAACTGGAGATATTGATCAAGTAGCTGAGCATAGTCAGTATTAAGCTCAAACTCTGAGTCAATGTATGTTCGAACCTGAATGCTCTCTATAATATCAGCAGTAAAAATAAACGTGGTATTAGATAGATCGTAGATACCATTGCGGAATCCAATGTAGATGTAGTCAAGCTTAATGAATTCAAAGTCCGGGTTGATGATGTTCTTGATGAAGTAAAGTAATTGCTGATGATCTTGCAACTTGCACATATGAAACAGAGGCTTATCAGCAAACACTACATTCAGAAACACAGCCGGATCATCGTATTTACGAACATAGTAATATGGAAGCAAATTCTCATAGATTGCTCCAGTTTGAAATTCTTGCCTTTGACGTTCTCAATCAGCTTCTCCTTAAGAATATCTAACGGTCTTCTCTTTTCCTTTTCTTCATTCTTTTTTTTACTTCTTGTGGTTCATACTCCGCTTTCCATTCCTTGTATCCATCTCGAAAGATTCCTCCAACAATAAATTTAATTTGGGATTCACTTAGCTTGGGGTAATACCTGGATGTTTCCCAGTCATTAAACACTTTCAATGCAGCGGCCTGATCAAATCGATCTGTCATTGTTTTGAGAATGCACAAGTATGTCTTCCGCATTAAGCCAAGATTGATGTGTTGCTTGCGATATAGCACACCAGCCAAGTTCCAAGTATTATTGTTATCATAGTACCACGATCTCTTCATCATGCAGCATAGTTTGTATAGACGCTGATCGTATAGTCCATTTGACACACAATATTCTACAAGATTAAGTTTCTCATAAAACCCTAAGAAGGCTTCTTTGTCCTCATCTGATTTGAAGTAGATACGCTTACGCGAGGTTACTTTGCCATCTTTTCGATTTTCAAGCTGGATTGGTGAGATATAACTCTGACTGAATAATACTTGTGGATCTGCATTCTTAATGCTTGGATGATCGATTGGTATTTCCTTCGCTAGTGAGCGCCAAGCATCGGTTACTTCAGAAAACTTCAGAATGTTTTTATTCCCGTATTCAAGTCCATAAGTATCCCAAGTAATACCCTTTGTCTCAGTGGGCTAGACTCCTTTTTTTATCCAGCTCACGTGCATCAGTTCTAGTCGAGGTCACTTCATTCTCAGAATCGTCCGAATTATATAATTGTTCCGAATCTAAATTATATTCCTACCGCGCTATCCGCGATCATCGGTTCGACATCGACTCATCCACATTGGAACTTCACTTACTTTGACATTCGAGGCCTCGACGGGTTCGATCACCGATGGCGCTGATGTATCAACAACCTCAGCGACGACTGGGGTATTGACATGTGGTGACATTTCTTCTACTATGTTACTCTCCACGACAATACTTTCCCGATCCATATTAATTGGATGCTTGTCGCAGCGATCCTTGTTGCGAGCTAGCAAACACTGTTCTCCGTTTTTTTGATAAAGTTGCACATTGTTATATTACTAAAGTTATATTTTCATATTCTATATTTTCGCTCAAGATCATAATTTTTTATGATGTCTTCGTGCGGGGATTCCGCCATGAAGTCACATTAGCAAGTGGATTATATGAGCTGTATTCATGTTAAATGTGTCGAGTATGTCCGTAAAAGTCTTGCCTCGCACGAAACAATGACCGAGACTAGGTTTGATTCATCTAATATCAATAGGAGATAGATTTTAGAAGAAAGTGTGAGTAATAGCACAATACTCACAAAGCTTTCAATTAGAACATGTCGATAGATCCTATAGTAACTTTATATCATTAGTAAATTTTTGTTAGTATGTGAGTATGTGAGTATTGGGATAGATAAACCATAAATACGTATAGGGGTCTAGGACCCTACCATGAAATATTGTAAATATATGGAGTGGTTAAAAAGGCCATTTTTAAAAACTCACATACCCACAAATTCAAGAGGATGTATACACGACGGCCCTTCCCGTGGTATGTGTTTTTTTTAATAAAAATCTGTGAGTATTAAAACAAAATACTCACGCAGTTTTCGCGTCTAGACCATACCGGAATAAAACCAGTTTTCCACGGCGGTGGTTTTTGATTAAAATTCATGATTATTTTTATCCAATCCGATCATGATTTCGTGGTAGTCTCACAAAGCAGAATCGCATGAATTCACGGTGGTTTCAGACTGCAACAGAGCCGCATGAATCCATGGCAGTGCTTTTTCTTCTATTCAAGACTATCGATGACAAGATTCATGACGATGCGCAGATCGACACGAGCTGTTGGGCTCACACCAGGTGGAAGAGCTGTATTCGGGAGGATCGATAAAATTCGGTGCATGTCGAAGGTGAGAACGATAGCAGCTCCAGCAGCTGCGTGTCGAAATGTTCCGCTCGCTGTTGGTCTAATGGTTGGGTGTGGTCGGGTCGTACTGTCATAGAGAGCATATCGAATCTGAGTACCACGGGCACTGATTTTCAATAGCAACACATACTGGATCCCAGCATAACCGCACCACCATTTGGCAGCAGCTTTCAGACTGTTCCAAGATTGAGCTCTCCCAACTTCCACTGCCAGCGTCACCCAATCGGTAACGGTGCGAGGTGCCGGTGCTGGTGTTCGGTTGAGCGTAGTTCTCTTTGGACCAAATGTCGCATCAGCCTCCTTGTTCGGGTTGCCAGGTCTTCTCGCGGTCATCGAGCGGCGACTTGCAACCTCGAGATCATTGCCTGATGCACGATTGAACATTTTCTCGAAAGATGCCGCAGTGCTTTCATGCACGCTAGTTGGCAATTCGACAATCGCGAGACGGCCATCATCAAGGGCGAGAAATCGAAGTGGAATCCGCAGCCCTTCGCCGTCTCCAACATACTCATTGAAGGCAGCAATGGAGACTCCCTCACACACGACGTACGGATCGATTTCATCGTCATCGTTGTCGAAATAACTCGCAGCCACATCAAGCTCCAGCGCATCGATGGCGACGCGAATATCATCGACGGTCTTTAATGTCGTCATGCTTGCTGCAGCTGATGTTAGCGTACCACGTCGTATAGTGTGGAAGAACAATATGAATCCCCGTCGCAGCATGTGCTCATTTTCTCTTTCTCGAAATAAAGGAAAGCGGAGGAAAAAAACGGTTTTTTTCCTCCGCTGACAGTGACTGTCGGCTCAAGCTACGCATAAAAAGGCATCTAGAGTACCCCTAGACACCCTTACAGCGAGCGATGATGTACTATATAGTATTTGCTTGCGTCCGGCTGTTCGATGATGGTGGGCAGGAGCTTTGCGGTGCTTTATCAGTGTGTGCGGGGGAGAGAGAGGAGGGCGCGGACAGTAATAGCTTGCAACTACTAAGTAGTATATTTTCTGCAACTGATCATTTGCGCAATTCTTAGCGTTTTACGCAGCTTTATGGCTAATTAAACGTTGAAGTTATCGGATATCTTATTATCTAAACTCTGATCAAGTTGAAGTAAAAAAAAAATTGACTTAAAATATTGAAGACAGAAACTGCGTACAAGATATAGTGAACGATCTTCTTCCGCCCAAGACAAGTTGACTTTCGGCAGCCAGCCACCTCCAACGTTGCTTCACATGCAGCGCCCAGAGACGTGAGCGACCGCAGTTCTCGGGTGTCGATCTTCATCTCCTGCTCCCGTCGCCACTTCTTCTTCAGAAACCCCGAAAGTGGAGCAGTGCGATACAACTACGAGGTCAAGGGCACTGCGGGTGGTCTCCACTCGTACTCAGAGATAGAGACGGCTGCCTTCACCGAGCATATCAACAACATTTTGCAAGCAGACAGAGATGTGGCGTCGTTGATGCCTATCAGCATGGACGTGGGAATGTTCCGAGCTGTGTGCGACGGTGTGCTCCGCCGAAGCGTAGAGGAGGCGAAAGGCCAAAACAAGTAGGTACAAAACGCTAGGCCCCGTATGCGCCTTGATATTTTTAATTCATTAAGTAATCTGGGTCAGCATCATGCTTACCTGATTAAAAATAATTATTGTAATGATCCCGAATCAAGATTCTTACTAGAACATCTTTATTATTGCTGGTTATCACTGTATATTTCTCTTCCATCGAAAACCACCTCCACTTTAAATTACATTTATACAAACGTTACACAATTTGTATAGTTAAGCGTCGTGCTCGATACCACGGGCCGTTTCGAAACTTAGCTCACATCAGCGCAAAAGATAGTAATGGCGTGTCAGCTTGCACTACTTCGCTTGTACTGCCTGTTTCATCTTGTAAGTAGCTAAAGATTGATCACTTCTCATACCAAACTCCATGAAACAAAAAATAAACAGTTTTGTATATTTATTACATTTAGCGGTCATTTTGTGCTGATTCATAATGAGTCATTAGACACGCTAATCAGTTCCAGTTATGATTAAATCATCTGGATAATGCGTCGCAAGCCGCCTTTCTGTTGTTTTTGTTGACGGCGGTATTTTTTTTATAGTTTAACGATGATTCCAGGATGGTTAATTGTCATTTAGGCTCCAAGTTTATTAACGGTTATTTATGAAATCTACTTAGCCAGCAAAAAGTAGCACCTCTCGTGTTTTGTTGTTGTCTTGCTCCATTTGAACTCGTATCCTACGCCCTTGTCGGCGACACGTCCACCCGTTATGTAGTATCGAATTTTGCAGTCTAAACAACTATTAGAAAACAATGATTTACAGCAGTAACACATACTGTATGGGTTTATCCCAATAGGGATTAATTCGAGATTATGTGCCCACACCAGTAGTAGGTATCGATTCGATACAAATTTCAAATGAAAAGGATTTACTTTTCTATCAATTTGTATAAATTTCACAGGTTTCACTCCAAGTAAAAGTTTGGCATGGGTATAAACTTATAGAACCTTGGTGTACGAAAGAAATTATTGCTTACTTTACAAATGCTTGGAGATGTTCTTTAGAAAATTTACTTTTTTCAGTTTTTCTTACACGGCTAGGTGTTGTGCTAGAATATCACATAATCGTATTTGTAGATCTTAATAACTATAAAGAGGTCTGTAAGCAAAGCTGTCGAGGCCATTATACGTCCACCTCTAGCCCTTGTTCGGTAGAAGCTGCAGTTGTTTCAATGCCTTGCTGCTGCCCCTTGACGCAGCATCGAGACGCTAAGGATCCTGGACATGGTGATTTTGGAGCTCTCGGTATTTTTTGCGAAGTGATAAGTCCGCTCGTAGGTGTCGTTAGGCCGTATCGGGCCAGCCGCCGCGGGCGTCACTAGTGGTGGACTCGACCGGCCCAACTCTTCCCCGAGCAGAGCGGAGATGAGTAAATAAGTGGACGATAAGTAGACGAGCAGAAGAGTAGAGTATCATGTAGGTAGAGCAAAGATAACCGCAGCAGCTCACTCAACGCCACGGCGACGAAATATAGTGCCCTCGGGAGGTGGTCACCGCAGCTGGCGAGCTCGCTGAGAAATTGTGGTTGTGAGCTTTTGAAAGAAACGAGCTTTCCGGTTATAGAAAATGATAACCTCACTCAAATCGTATTACCTTCTTTAAAATTATATTTTTACAAATTCTGGATGTGCTGGAGTTTAGTGTGGTACTGTATCTTATCTGTAAATGATTGTTAGAGCAGATGCGGTAAAATTCAACCGATTTACAGGTGATCGAGTCTAGTTTAAAAAAAGGTGTTAAAATCTGCAAAATGTAAACAGCAAGAAGAAAAAAACACTCAGGACAACGAATCCCTCCCGGCTGATTGGAAATTACTACGAATTTGTAAATTTTCATTAGAAGTAGTGCGCTTAAGAGAACAAATGACCCCTCTGATGGTAAGGGAGTTGGTGCGAAGCCTTTGGCTTTCCAGGGCGACTAGCGCTGCGCAGCAGCACTACCAGCCCAACCCTTTAGTCTAAAACTATCTATCTTTATTGATCAAGTGACAGCGTTTGTTAGCACAGCGTTGTTGATACGGCCATCTTCTGTTGTAAATGTACTACTATTTTCAGCTCATTCAGTTACCTCACATTCAGATATTTTCTTAATATTTCTACAACAAAATAGTTATAGTTATTCTTTTAGTCATTGTTTCTTGTAGAAACTATTATGAACATAGTATTACGTATATTAATATTGTACCCTCGAAAACACACATTCATACGTGTACGCTAAGCACCTTGCAGCAAAAGAGGGGCTATTTCATTTGAGAATAAGTGGCTCTGCCTGTTTAGCAATCAAATAGTAAAAGCAACATGCATTTTTAAAAAAGAAAAACTTCGTAATATAAAAACGATTATAGTGAGTTGTAGTCAAAGTTTCCGAATCGGCCGATTGAACCGCTCCGGAGTTTCGATCTGAGTTTCGCCCTACCTATCTTATAGTGTATTTCCAATAATGGTGTGTATCTGACCAGATTCCCAGAGAGAAATCTGCAAGCAACCACAACACGAGTGCAATGGAGGCGAACCCAAGACCAAGCAAGGGGGGCGTCGAGGTGGCGAGCCCAAGCCCGAGGACTGGAGACATGGAGGCGACTCGTGATAGCGAGCGAGAGGCAACAACACCAACCAGATTGACAGCTCTGAGATCACAGCGAAGCTCGACGTCTCATACGCGCGTCTCTCCGTATCCTGAGCGGGTACGAACTCGAGTTCGACGGTCGCCAAGCGCAGCGCACTCAGAAGAACGTCGGCAGCTAGCGCTGGTGGTCCAGCCAATTATCAAGGCTACAATTGGCCAGCGAGATGCATCTGGCGTCACGCTAGATAAGAGGACCGTGTGTGGAGCCATGTTTAACGACATTATCACTTCTCTATTCGAAAAGCTTCGTAGTCACATCAAAGGACGGGCAGCTAAGACGAATGGCGAGTGGTCACTGCAGACTACTTTCCAGGAAGAACGGCACAAACGCATGCAATTCAGATTTAAAAGGCACATGATCGAAAGTACCAAGACAGAAGACGCTTGGGCACAGTGGGTGAAAAGTACACGTCGCCACACTGTACAGCTTCTTGTGTACGAATTTGACCTTGAAATAACAAAGGCTCAAGACCTCCAAAATTTAAAGAGGCGTGCATTCGACCTCCGGAAACCGATCGAGCTGGTGCAGCTGCGGAGAGCACTTTGCACGATGCGGTTGTCCAACTGCAGCAACACTGGGGGAGCCGATTTCAAGGATCGGCAAAAGTTTGGCGCATGTAGGCGAACTCTATTACGCGAAACCTAAATCGATCGACATGGACTGATGCAATTTCAGATCCACCTCCGGTGCACGTAGCGAATTTACTGAACGCAGCGGACTTGCTTCTTGAGCAATACATCTTAAACCTCAATCGATCATCTCGACTCGCACTGGACTGTGTTGCCGCAGCTATTGCAGATAATGAGCAACACCGTCGTGATGTTGACGCATTTGTAAGACGGGTTGAAGCACAAAAGAATCGACTAGCTGACAGAAAGGCAATCATCGAGGCATTCATTGACGAATTACTGCCCCCCCACCTAGTGATGTCGTCGATCCTGCTCCACTGATTGAAAACATTGCTGACATCGATCATGAAGAGTAGATAGTAAATTGTAGGATACTCAGTAGCCTAACGACTGGTGCGTTACAAATCCTAACTCATCTTCACGGCAGTCGACTTGTTCTTGCCCGTCCCAAATGTCTGGTACCTGTCGTTTCTCCTTAGAGAGTGGCCCGACTGGATTAAAAATGCCTTGTTTCATCCAACCACAGTGCTCAAACACGCGTGTCATGTCGAACGATTCAAGGCGCTGAAACGGCTTCACAGCTAACGGAGTCAGGTCCCGGCCACTAGATTCGTCATAGTGTCGCATAAAAGCCTTCTTCACGTACCCAAAGAGAAATTTAATGAGATTAAAAAATGGGCAATACGCCGGCAAAAAAATAGGGACCACGCCGACACTTCGCAGGTAGTGTATAATCTCTGGATGGCGATGGATTGATGCTCCATCGAGAATCCACACCGAGTTAGATCCCGGGTATTGATTTACGCCTTTACGTGCTGAGTACACGAAATCTTTGCAACAATTCACGAAGCTTAGCCTGTCGAACGTTCCTTGTGTATCGTAGTAGTCGAGTAAACCGTTAGCTCCAATAAACGCTAGCACTGAAATCCTTGGCTTCCTCTGAAAGTCTCCACATACGGCAACCTTTTCTCCCCTCATTGAGTATCCTCTTTTTCGTATCATTCCGCGGTTATCAAAGGATACTTCGTCTAGGAAGACAAGGTTTTGATGACTCCAATTAACATTACTGAGCTCCTCAACGAATCTGAATACATCGCCTTTTTTAATAGGCATTGCACATCTTTCAAGGACCTTCCAAGTTAGTCTGAAGTGGTGGATAATGCGCCAAACGGATGACTTTGAAATCGAAATGTGGTGAGCTTCAGTGAAAGCAGCTTGTGCTTCGTCCAAGTAGGCAAACGGTTTTTTTCTGATAATAGTTGCTGAGCCATTCTCTATGCGCTGATGTAGCTTTCCTGTCCACTTCTGTGTTCGCCCGCTGAAATGTATCTGTGTCCTCGTAGACCTGTATCCAGTTACCGACAGTTCTTACGTCCTTGTATAAGACATGAGCGAGCTGCTGGCGAGTGTAGCCAAGATTTTAGAGCGCGTACACGCAGTGGAACACTGTGTTTGATTGAGCATGTTGCTTAGTGGCGGCCAGCTCTATTTTCCCTTATTGTGCGCTGTTGGCGAGCGAGCACATCTTTCCTGATTTTAGCCAGTAGTATGCTACCGAGCGGTTGCGGATCCGTTTATAAATTTGATCGAAACGGAAATTTCTTGCAGAATTGACAATACCAGTAATGTATAATCGTGTGCAAATCCATATGTGCTCTGTAAATCACATAAATTTACTGATGTAAGCTACATAATTCAGTTTAAACCAATTGGAGCCGCCTTCGCTCCGCTCGGCAACAAATGAGAAGGCTAAAAAATCTGAGCGTTTCGTGCGATGGACGGACGGACACAGTGCTAGCCTGATAGAACTAGCGCTCTGGGCGCCCGATCCGCGGACGCTAGGGCATGGTTTGTTGGTGTAGAGAGGGCCAACCACCCCCGTTGCGTTGCGGTGGGCTTAGAGTTTCTACGAGGAGCGAAACTTCATATAATATATGTATACTGTGATCTACTTTTGTTACCCGTTAAAACCACACTGCACACATATGCTTAGTGCTCACATGTTACAGGAGACATGACTCGGGTTTAACGTGATCTGCAAGATGAGAACCATCTTACCCGGGAAGGTATTGTCTATAATATCGCTTGAGCTCATAGCTCCCAAAATGACAGGAATCGCAGACGCGCGTGGTTGTATGCTGTTCAAAAGACGTGTCAGTATCAATGATGATCCAAATTGGCATAGATCGGTGAGAAATCATGGCGTAAATACGCCAACTCAAACATAATACCATCTGTCACGTCATCGCCCGTGAGGCTGTCGACACCATATCCTTGATTGCGACGGTCTATTAGAGCAAAATTTGGTCGGCTCCTCGCACGAATTATCTTTTAGGACAGGTAGTATTTGCCGATGGGCGCCACAAACATACCTTGAAAGTGTTCGGCTGAGCTCGTTATAATATTACTGAAGGGGCTTTTCCACTATCTTCCGCATGCATTGATCTTACTTGCATAGCTGACTTACTTACTGACTTATTTGCGTAGCTACTGCCTGACGGAGTGGCGTAGATCCTTTTCGATTGGCATTTCCGATATGTGCGACGAATATATGAAGCCACATGGCTGTAGGCAAATTATTAGATCGTAGATATCTTATACTTGAATCGAAAAGTAGCTCATGTCCATTAGATGAAGTACTTTGTTGTCTACCTAACTACCCGGCGTGCTATTTGATGTGTCCGCGCATATCCCGCAATGCCGTAAATGGGTGTGATCGTGATGGCCAACACCCATGCATTGGGTCACTGCTGCGATCTCTCTACTTTTGCATCATCGTGCTAGCTTACGGTACCTACGCTTATGATGTATCAGTCCATATGATCGAGCGCGTCACTAATTGGGCACAGGTCATATCCGCGGTGATACAGGCCAGCTGCAGCGGCGCTGCCGTAGCCTTAGCGTCAGAGGAAGACGTTCGACTCAAAGAGTCACTAATACTAAGTTCCTTATCCAAAGGACACTTACAGCCCAAGCCCAGGGCTCAAAGTTATTACCTTAGCGTTTATGCTTCAAAAACCAGAAATGTTTTATTTTCTATTATTGCGACCAAGCCGCCTAGGGGTAAATGTATCTGTTTAACTATCTAGCATAGTTAAACCTAATGAAATGCATAACGTGTGGCTTTCAGCCAGCGTACTGAGAGACCTTGTTAGCTCTCCAACTTATGTCGGAGCGTTTGTTAGCTCTCCAGCTTATGTCGGAGCGTTTGTTAGCTCTCCGGGTATTTCGTACCCCTGTGTGTTCCGCACCATGTAAATCCGCTGCACTCTTTCCACTAAGATGAGAACATTCTTTCTCGAAACTTTACTCAGCGAGGTCACGTCTTGTTAAGACGGCGGAGGTTACTACACCTCACACCAGCGTTGTACAGCTCCGTGAGCTCACAAACGCCTACGCATCGTTTTGGCCCAGCTTCTCGTCGTCGTCCCACAACCAATGTTCCAAGCGCAGCGCGCATCGTGTTCTCAAGCGGTCTCAGGCTTACGCTCGCGCTCCGCGCCTACTCCAAGAGTTGCAAACCGCTTAGAGCTATGCTCTTGACTCATCCGAGTCGTCGACAACAGCTCAGCGGCTAAACACTCGCTTCACAAGCGATGGGTTGGTGGTTCGATCCCACCAGGGCGTCGCCCTCTCGTTCCACGAACGGTTGTCCATCCTTAGACAAGCTTAAGGGCATCACCCTTATAGATCAATGGTCGAGCGTTGGCTTTGGAGGCCACAGGTCGGTGGTTCAAATCCACTCGGGCGCAGCCCTTTCATACCATGAATAGTCCGTTCTCGGACTGACGTACGGGCATCGCCCTTATAGCTCAATGGTAGAGCTCCGGCCTGGCAAGCCAAAGGCCAGTGGTTCGACCCCCGTCCGGGACACCACTTTCGATGTTACAGCGCATCCACATTTGGATCATGATCATCGGGCAAGCTGTTTCAAAACAACTATGCGTCTATCGAGACGCTTGTACCTGAACCTTGTTCACAGCACAAAGCACATGTTTCCTTTGGGACCATGTCCCTAACACCACGAGGTCTCTCCACCTCCTGCTCCCGCTGCGAGCACCGCCCATACGTACGAGCTGGCTGCTGCAGCCACTGGTCAGAGCCTGAGCTCAACTACTGACCTGATCGCTCCCCACTCTAGTGGGAGGCGCCCAGCGCCTGGTGACGCTGTCGCACGCCTTGGGGGCGCTTCGGCATATGATGTGCCCGGTCGTAAGCGTCAACGACGTCAGGGCAATCTTGCAGGAGGATAACCTCAAACTCCCATGAGTTCTGTGAGTGTGGGTAACCCCTCCACCTCACCAAGTACTGGGTACGACCCTGGCGTCTACGCCGCGCCACAAGGCGTCCCACGTGGAAGTAAAAATAGCCATGCTCACAGAGCAGAGCAGGAGGAGGCCTTGTCTCAGCTGGGCTCTCTCGGTGAGAATCAGCACTTGCTGCAACGGTGTCTGCGTCCATACGACACCGGCGTCCACGAAGCAAACGTTCCCGTTCACCGTCGATCGGTCGATCTCGAAGAGATGATCCACCTTGTGGATAGTATAGAGCCACCATTGTTGACTCACAACAGATCTCGGACCTTAAGCGTCCAGTCGCTCGGCTGAACGTTCAGCTTGCTTTGCTCCTGCATCTCGAGCACTTCGCTCCGCGACCTGTGGCTTTGCCACATGCTGTTGATGAGCCATCTGTGGGTCCACCACCTGCTGCCCTGTAGCTGTCCGTGGTCCAGCCACCGTTGGTTCCAACGCTTCCGCGCTCACCTAAGCAGGGTCTTGATATGGCTTAAGCAAGCCAACATAGAAGTCCGGATGCGTGCGCATCGTCTTCGGAAGGTAAGCGTATAGGCTAGGCCCTTCTTGGCCACGACCTTGAACGGTCTTATGAACCGTGGGCTCAATTTTGTCTTAAAGACTGCAGACACTGCATGAGTAGGTAGGGTTTAAGCGTGTAATAAAATTTAGCCACCGACCTCAAACCTCTCAACATTGCTTCTGCCCTTGGCATTTGCATGTTCCTTCTGCGTGTCTTGGCTTTCAGTCAGAGCGTCGCGTAGTTGACGCATTACACCCAGTCTCAAAGAGACAAAGTCATCGACTTGCTTTCGAGCCACAACAGGGCTGACGTCAGCTAGCCGCTCGGCTATACCTCCCCCATCAAGCCCTGAGCCACTGCGGGGCGGCGTCAGTGGGACGCGAAGGCTTACCAAGCCGTTCACATAGCGCGGCGTGTAGCATGTCAAGGCGTGCACTGCATTGATTAATGCGAACTCAACGAGCGGGGGCATCTGGCTCCAGCGTTTTGGCGCCTCAGCCCATACGCTTCGGGGGGTATCATCCACAACGCGATTCACGCGTTCGATTTGACTGTCGGTCTGCGGATGATCCGCTGTGGACATGTCCAAACGAGTGCCGAGCACTCTGAAGAAGGACGTCCAGAACTTCGCGGTGAAGCGCGGGTCTCGATCCAAGACAATCGCCTCAGGCAAGCCATGTTGGCGAAAGACTCAGTCTAAAAACAGCAAAGCTGTACCCTCTTCATCAATGCTGTCCGGCGCCGCCGCTAAATGAGCCATCTTGCTCAATCGGCCTACAAATACCACAATACCCGTGTTTCCCGCCTTATCTTTGGGAAGGCCAAACACGAAGTCCATACGCGTGGACTGCTAACATCCCTTGGGGACACGCAAACTCGCCAATGGCGCTGCCGTGCTCGGCGCGGACTTTGTCCGTTGACACGTCTCGAACGTTCGTACATATGGGCCGACCCACTTATACATTTTAGGCCACCTGTACATCGAGCTCACCGAGCCATAGGTCTTCTCCCGACCTAAGTGCCCGCCCACGGGCGTATCATGAACCTTATAGAGAATTCGATACCTTAGATCCTCATCATGAGGAACGATTACTCGAGGGTTATCCTCAGGGTCGGTGCGGTAGTACAGAAGGCCGCCATCGAGCGAGAATCGATGCAGCCTCGCGCGTAAGCGCACAGACAATTCCTCGTCAGAGTCTTTAAACTCTTCGCTCTCAAGGGCCCGTAGCAGCGCTACGCACACGTTGTCTTGTGCGTAAGCTCCGCGTGTCAAGTCAGGCACTGACGACGTCACTGTCGTGACATGGGCTAACTCGTAGTCCGGCCTGCGCGAGAGCGCATCGGCCACTACATTAAGCCGCCCCGGCTTGTACTTCACCTCGAAGTTATACTCGGCAAAGAAGGAAAGCCATCTTGCCATTCTCTGAGAGTGATGAGACGACTGTGTCGCAGTGCGTAACGACGCATGATCAGTAAAGATCACAAAAGGCTTAGAGCCTAGCAGGTGTACCCTGAATTTGACTAGATCATATTTCATGGCAATTAGCTCTTTGTCATGCGCTGGATGGTTCTTCTCTGCAGCGTTGTGCTGGCGAGACTCAAACGCAATCACACGTTCACACCCTTCGGTGTCTGCTTGTAGCAAAGCGTAACCGATTGCAAAATCGAAGATGTCAGCCACGACGCTAAACGGGCTATCCGGGTCCGGTAGCGCAAGGATCGGAGCCTGGAGGAGGCTCTTCTTTACAGCCTCAAAGGCTCCGTCGTACTCGACGTTCCAGCACCATAGTGCGTCGTTCTTAAGGAGATCTGATAATGGCCGACCCATTTCCGCGTAGCTCGCTCTGTACTTGACAAGTAATTGGCTAAACTTAGCCAATTGCGAAGTCTTTTTAGTTCTTGAAGGCCGGCCGGTCCACGATGACCTTGGCTTTGGCAGGATCAGCCCGTAAGCCACGCTTCCCAATGAAGCACCCGAGGAAACGTATCTCCTTCGCGCCAAAGGCGCACTTGTCCAAGCTGGCATACAACTTATTTGTGCGCATGCACTAGAGCACTGCTCGCAAGTGGTCAACGTGGTTATCCACGTCTGACTTTCCGTGCTCGGCACGACTATGGACGAATATATCGTTAAAGTACGTCTGAGCGTACGCCCGGTGGGGCCTAAACAACTGCGTCACAAGACAATTGAACGCTGCTGGTGCGTTCGACAGCCCCTGGGGCATGACCAGCCACTCCCAGCGCATACCGCTCGGAGTAGTCACCGCTGTCAGCGGAATGTCGCTCGCTCTCATGCGCAATTGGTAGTAGCCATCGACCAAGTCGAGCGCGCTGTACGACGCACTACTTACCATATTGTTCCGCAGAATATCCTTGCGAGGAATCGGCGAATGCGCCGGGATAGTGGCCGCATTGAGCTTGTTAAAAGCATGAACAATGCGCCACTTGCCGTTCGGCTTTCTGACACAGAACGTGGGTGTCGAGTGCGAAGACTTAGTCTCACGCACCATCCCTGCCTCGTGCTTCGCACGGAAAAATGCGTCAATGACGTCACACTGCTCTCTCGGCAAAGGCCACTGCCTTGTCACGCAGTATTTGGTTTCAGAAATCAGGTCAATCTCATGACACATGCGTCAATCCGGAGGCAGGCCCATCAGTGGGTCTTTCGAGACAAAGTCTCCATACTACTTCACCACACGATAGAAGGGATCCGAAGGATCTTTGATGATCGCCGATCCACTTCTGGCGTCCAGCGCCTTCTTGGTGTCCTCTAGGACCGCGTCGTCCACGACGGATGAGGAGTTCAACACATCCTCAGGTCCCAACAAGGCCACCTCGGCTAGCTCGCCTGCCTTTAAGGCTTCGCCACACTCGGCAATAGACATCTTGTCCAGCACTAGCAGAGCATCTGCAGCGGGCAGAGTGTCAAGGCTGATGTCGCCTTCTACCTCCCCTGTCACTCCGTTCATGAGCGTGTACAGCAGTTCACAGCAATCACGTGGAGTCTCACCGCTCATCACGTTGGACACCTCGTCCGACGTCGAAGACGCCCTGCGTCTTCTTCTCCTCTCCCTCCGCGACTGAGCCCGGCTGGATGAGGGCGGTGTGGCGACATCTCCATCACCACCACCGGGTGCAGCAACACCATCACTCCTCGAAGAGGATTCACGCTCGGCTTGCATACACGCTTCTCGTAAGAGAGCTAAGCTCTCTTCGGGGCTGAGCCCCGTTGCCCTTTACCTCGTCGAGGCACAACAGAACTCAGTTCTTTCCCAGTAGGTCGCCCCGCGCCTACTGGGAGTTGTCGTTTCGCGGCGATGACCCGGAGGGTTGGCTCGCCGGAGCCTCGCGCTTCTTACGCAGAGGGCAATAGGCCCTCAAGTGTTCAGTGCTATTGCACCGCTGCTCCGCAGCAAGAAGCTCCGCTTCTTCATCTTTAGCAAAGCTGAGGTCCATCGGCTCTGGGCCGCTCGAAGAGATTGCGCTATCAGCGCTTCAACCGTGTCGCGCCGACCTGAAGTTGTGCTCGGCATTCAATGCCACATCCACCGCCTCTTCGAAAGCGTTAAGGTGTACACGGAACACTTCCGATCGAGCTGCGCTCACACGAAGTCCCTTCGTGAACACGTCACGCTGACCAGCTCTGGAAGAGGGTACGCCGTCATTCCGGCGACAAGGGTTCTCAACTCTTGGTCATAGTCCAATAATTTCTTCTTACCCTGGCGGGTAGCAAGATACTTCGATCGGATACGGTACGTTTGATTAGGCGGCGCGAACACGCGCGAAAGCCGTTGCTTCAGCTGGTCCCAAGTGC